TCTAGCCAGGGTCAACCCACCACACTAGTACCAATGTAGCAGATAGCCACCAGGATGCGGTCATTTAGTCAGTCAAATGTACGTTTGACTGAAGAGAGGTTCTTTGGAGCCCAAGAACTTCCCCCTTCCCATTTCATTTTCTAAGCAAGTCAGAAATCCTGTTTACACTCAACACCACAGTCACCTCTCCAGACCTAGAAGCATTCACTAATCATTTAGATTCCTAAAGGATGTCTGTGGCCCATGGAGGGAGGATCAGACATGCTGAAATGTTGTACACTACCTAGAGAAGGGGCACATGCCCAGTTCCGGAGAATGTATAGTCAGAGAAAAGGAAGATGATGTCTTGTTATTACCTTTTAGCACAGGTCATGGAACAAAACCTCTTGGATCCACGGAACTGGGTTGCTGGGGCGTACTTCCCACAGTATTCACACTTCAGCAAGTTTGCCTTCTTATCGAGCTCTAGTGAGATACAGAGATAGACATCAGCTGGTAAACTGAATTGGTTCAGCTTATGGGACAATGATTCCCCAATTCTACTACTCTTCTTCTGGGCAGACAGATTCCAAGTGTTAGTCTCTACTGAATCTACTGAGCAGTTAGCTTTGGGAAGAAGCTGGGGAAGGAGAGGCAGCAGCTCCACTAATTAGGGCCCCTGGATATTGAACAGAGCAGTTTATTTCTCCTTGTCAGTACCGTTTCGCTGAAGAAGCAAAAAATAGCATATCACAGAATTGTAGTGGTTGGAAAAGGCCTTTAAGATCACTGAGTCCAAACATAAACCCAACACTGCCAATTCCACCTCAAAACCACGTTGCTGAGCACCTCATCTGCCCATCTGTTAAATCCCACCAGGGAAGGTGACTCCACCACCCTCCTGAGCAGCCTGTTCCAATGCTTGACCACCCTTTGGATGAAGAAGTTTTTCCTCAGATCCAATCTAAACCTCCCCTGATGCAACTTGAGGCCATTTCCTCTTGTCCTGTCACGTGGTCCTTGGTTGAACAGACCCACCCCCACCTCTCTACACCCTCCTTGCAGGGACTTGGACAGAGCCACAAGGTCTCCCCTCAGCCTCCTTTTCTCCAGGCTCAACAACCCCAGCTCCCTCAGCCAGGAACTCAGCACACTTGTGCTCCAGACCCTTCCCCAGCTCCGTTGCCCTTCTCTGGACACGCTCCAGCACCTCCCTGAACCCAGCACTCGAGCTGCAGCCTCACCAGTGACCAGTGCAGGGAGAAGACAACTTCTCTGGTCCTGCTGGCCACACTATTGTTGATACAGGCCAGGATGCTGTTGGCCTTCTTGGCCACCTGGGCACTCTGTTGGCTCATGTTCAGCTGCTGTTGACCAACACCCCCCAGGTCCTTTTCCACCAGGCAGCTCTCCAGCCACTCCTCCCCAGGTCTGTAGCGTTACATGGGGTTGTTGTGACCCAGGTGCAGGACCTGGCATTTGGCCTCAATATCCCTCATATCCTACAAGGTTATGGGGGAAAATCTCCATCACTGCGCTCTCCGCTGCATCTCCATCCTTCACAGCCTTCAGAGACATTACAGACAGGTACAGTTCAGATTCTCCTGCTGACTACTGACACAGGGTGTGTTGATCATATTAATAACAACAAAAATGTGTTGTCTTCTGGCACTCAAGACAAGGAGATCGTGGGTCCATAGCTTGAGTCTCTAAGCAGGTAGCAGAAAGGGATACAAATCCATAACGTATGAAGTTAGTAATACAATACCAGAGAGCAGAAACTGTCAGGAACACTTGCTAGGCCTCCTGGTGTTGAAACTCACCCACAGAAGCACTGTCCCCTCCTGGGGAATTGCTGGACAGGTTTTCACTCTGGCCAGAAGGAGCCTCTCCCTGTAGCGGTTTCTCAGATTCTTTCAGCAGTTGAGAACAACCCACCTGGACAGGGAGAGAAAGAGTTGGGCCCATCAGTAAAGGATTCTCTGTGTCCACTGCCCTCTGCTGACACCTAATTACAGCTCAGAAGAATCCTTCTGCCTACTAGGGAAGGAGAGATGCTGAGCAAAGTTATTACTCCTTCCTGACTCACAAGCTTGGTGGTTCATTCAAAGATCACCAAGTACTATTTGCCTTGAATATCCTGCAACTTCATGGAACTGCATTTCCCCTTCTTTGCTTTAACTTCTCTTGCTGCTTGTTCGAAATGCAGTGCAACCTTCCCTCAGTAAAAATCAGAGAGAAGAACCTCCTTACAATTCCTGCATAAGTTATTGCTTTGAGGACCACTGGAGAAAACAGTTCCCATCACACTTGTTTTACTCCCTCCAACCCATTCTCTTGAATGCCACCACTTAATGCCTTACTTCATGCATGACACTTCCCTCCTTTCCCTTCTTCACTGTCTGTGTCTCAAGCTAAAAATGCCACGTTGGAATATGGGGAAAGAAACTCCTGACCAAAGATGGAAACCCACCACTCCCCCAAGAGAACACTACACCTCCTTCCCCCACAGCAGAGAATCCCTACCGGAAAGGGCTCTGCTCCTTCCTGGATGACAAAGCCTTCAATGATGTGTGTGAGGATCTGAGGCTTGACGATGGCTTGTGGGGGTTTGGAATCTCCCATCTGACGTGACACCATTGCCAGGTTTGGGGTAGGAGCAGAGGTGGGGGTGACTGATGCTCCTTCACTTGAGGTGGTATTTGAGGTTGTGATGGCAGCAGGATCAGATTTATCTGGAAAATCACCAGCACGAGAGTCAGTTACCTCTGCTCCATCTACTTCAAATGGAACATGAGATCGGATCATGAGCGTACACAAGCAGAGCTCTCCTTTGTACCTCACCTCCAAGGCCACTCTTCTCCTCCACGTTTTTGGGGCTGTCTGTCACAGGAGAGGACCTGGCAGGTAGGAGTGCAGTGACACTGGGTGACTCCTCCTTCTCCTCCTCTGACTCCGCCTTGCGTTTTACTGCTAAGGTCTGAGACTTGCCCTGTGTGAATAAAGACGAACAGGTAAGCAGAGAGAGGAGGACCAAAGCAAAGAACAAGACAGACCGAAGGCAAAAGGAAGATGCATCCTGCTCCATCATACTTCATTTCCAGCCTGGTTCCTTCCCCTGGAGATGCCTCTAGCTCCCTCGAAGTACATACCTCTACTTACAGAATCCCAGAATGGTGGGGTTGGAAGGGACCTCCGGAGATCATCCAGCCCAACCTCCCTGCCAAAGCAGGTTCCCTACAGCAGGTTGCACAGGAAAGAGTCCAGCTGGGTTTGAACATCTCCAGAGATGGAGACTCCACACCCTCTCTGGGCAGCCTGTCCCAGGGCTCTGGCACCCTCACAGGAAAGAAGTTTTTCCTTGAGTTTGTCTGGAACTTCTGGTGTTCCAGTTTGTGCCCATTGCCCCTTGTCCTGTCACTGGGCACCACCGAAAAGAGCCCAGACCCATCCATTTGGCCCCCACATTTCAGATATTTATAGACATTGATCAGATCCCCTCTCAGGCTGCTCTTCTCCAGGCTGAACAGTCCCAGCTCTCTCAGCCTCTCCTCGTAAGAAAGATGCTTCAGGCCCCTCATCATCTTTGTGGCCTCCGCTGGACTCTCTCCAGAAGATCCCTGTCCCTCTTGAACTGGGGAGCCCAGGAGCATTTGCTTAGCAGGGAGCAAAACTCCAGAAGACTCATTGCCATACCACCATGACTAGGATCTGGTGTCCCAATTCATGTTGATACATGGATACAGTACCAAGACACTGTGTGAACCTCAAAGGATTATTCCAGGAAGAAAGAATGGAATGGTGGTCACCCAGCAGTTTCCAAACAGACTTTTGTCTAAACCAGATCAGTGTCAATGAAGGAGAGTCAAAAGAGTAGGAGACACATGTTGGATGAGAGCAGAATTGTCCCCCTACTCTAAAAATCAGATAAATCCTGTGACACCTTCCTGAAGAAGCAGCCAGAGTTTAGAAACAGCCTCAACAACTGGCTAAGGATATCTGAGCTGTTGTCCCAGGGAGGTGGGCAGGCCCTAGCTGGACAATTCACAGCAGCATGGAGAAGGTCTGTGGAACATGAGCCAGCTTTGTTTTCCTCTGCATAGCCTGTTGGTAGCAGACCCTCTGAGGCCCAGAGTCAGTGGTTGGTACCCTGGAGTCAGGGGTCTCTCACCCAGAGGCATCCACACCTTGGTGAGGAGAGGGGAGTTCCATCTTCATGGTCTGCTCAGCTCTCATCTCTCTCCTGAGAGAGACAACAAAGAGACCAGGTTCTTGTTTGCACTGGGTTTATGTGGCCAGGTTTTGGTATCAGGAGGGCTGCAGGAGTGGCTTTTGTGAGAAGACACCAGAAGCTTCCCCCATGTCCCACAGAGCTAATGCCAGCCAGCTCAAAGATGGACTTGCTGCTGGCCAAAGCTGAGCCCATCAGCGATTGTGGTAGCACCTCTGGGATAACGTATTTAAGAAAAGGTAAAAAGTCCTGTGCAACTGCAGCTAGAGAGAGGAGTGAGAAGATGTAAGAGAAACAACCCTACAGACACCAAGGTCAGGGAAGAAGGAGGGGGAGGAGGTGCTCCAGGAGCCAGAGCAGAGATTTCCCTGTAACTTGTGGTGAAGACCATAGTGAGGCAGGCTGGCCCCCCGCAGCCCCTGGCGG